ACGACTGATCCGTGTAAAGGAAAGAATGAATGGGGCCATTTATCGTGAGATTTTGAGTGAAAACCTCTTTCCATCAGCAAGGGCATTGAAGATGAAACGTGGCTGGGTCTTTCAGCATGACAATGATCCCAAACACACCGCCCGGGCAACGAAGGAGTGGCTTCGTAAGAAGCATTTCAAGGTCCTGGATTGGCCTAGCCAGTCTCCAGATCTCAACCCCATAGAAAATCTTTGGAGGGAGTTGAAAGTCTGTGTTGCCCAGCGACAGCCCCAAAACATCACTGCTCTAGAGGAGATATGCATGGAGGAATGGGCCAAAATACCAGCAACAGTGTGTGAAAACCTTGTGAAGACTTACAGAAAACGTTTGACCTGTTTCATTGCCAACAAAGGGTATATAACAAAGTATTGAGAAACTTTTGTTATTGACCAAATACTTATTTTCCACCATAATTTGCAAATAAATTCATTAAAAATCCTACAATGTGATTTTCTGGATTTTCTTTTCTCATTCTGTCTGTCATAGTTGACGTGTACCTATGATGAAAATTACAGGCCTCTCTCATCTTTTTAAGTGGGAGAACTTGCACAATTGGTGGCTGACTAAATACTTTTTTTCCCCACTGTATGTGTCACGGTTTCGGCCGAGGCTGCTCCTTCTCCTTGTTCGGGCAGGCTTCGGCGGTCGTCGTCTCCGGTGTACTAGCTGCCACTGTTCTTTGTTTTCGATGTTTGTTTGGTTTGGTCTGTTTGGTACACCTGTTCTCGTTTAGTGTTGATTATGTGTCCTTTAAGTTCTCGTTGTTTCTGTCATGTGTTTGTGTGTAGTTGTTCTTTTGTCAGCTGGAGCAGTCAGTACATTTTTCCTCTATTTGTTTTGTTTATAGAGAGTCCGCACTTGTTGTGCGCGTTTGTTGCATTTAGCTCGTTTACGCAGTGTGCGTAATTTTCTCGTGCCTCCGGCTCTGTTTTGTAGCCGTGTCATTTTGTCTTTACTAAAGACTTTTGGACTAAGCCTCTGTGTCCGGCGATTGATTCCTACACCACATCCACGCCTTCTGACATTATGCAAATGTGATATTTCAGTTTTTTATTTGTATACATTTGCAAACATTTCTAAAAACCTGTTTTTGCTTCGTCATTATGGGGTATTTTGTGTAGATTGATGAGAATTTTTTTTTTTTTAATCAATTTTAGAATAAGGCTGTAATGTAACAAAATGTGGAAAAAGTAAAGGTGTCTGAATACTTTCTGAATGCACTGGGTAGCTAACATTAACAAGTTGTTGGCTAAATAGGCCTACAGGCTGAGGCCAGTTAGCTAGCTAGCTAACCAACCACAGTGATAGAAATAAAGTAGAGTCCTGCAGTTGTAGGTAGCATTGTGTGTTATTTGTCCAATTCTGTGGTATCATTTAACGTCAACTAATAGTTTTGAGAAGTTTTAGATATATTTGGTGACGTGGTTTGCAATGTCTGTGCGTGGGCACGTCAAAAAACAAGAACAAGCTAACGTTAGCTTGCTAGCTAGCTATCTATTACTAATATTTGAACTAGCTAGCTAGCTAACTGAGCACTTCGTTGTCCTGATTTTCTCATTGATTTTAATCAAAAAATGTCTTCACCAGGTGATGACCCATTCAAGGACGTTGCTGTGAGCTTCCATCTGAATTATTTTTAAGGTGTGTGGGTGACTTCAGATCATTTCAGTTTGTCACTGTAGTTCATATTAGGGCTAGCAACATTAACAAGGTATCTTGGTCTTTTACACAATACATTATTGCTGAGGCAGGTTTTTTAAATAGTAGAATGCCCCCTATTTGATGTTCAACATTTCCTTCCTCCTAGGCAGCATATGAGATGTAAGACCTGCAAAGAAATTGAATTTCTGAAGCATTATAGGATGAGGCATGGACACAGTCAATCACTGCCTTGTCTCTATGAACATTGCTTTTGTTCCTTCAAAACATGGAGTACCCTCAAGTCACATTTGTCCAGACAACGTCCAACTGACCAGTCAGTAAGGCGAGGAGAAGTCTTCTCTTTTAGATGTGAAGTGTGCAACTTCATATCATGCTCTGTGGCAGGTCCAGTCAAAATATACATTGTTAATTCCCGTTTAAGGAAACATGGCTTTGTTGTTGATGATTCCATAATCTCAGATTTGGTTAAATACGTCTGTGAGACAAAACCCATAAGCTCAGTTTTAGTGGCGGATGGACACCTTGCCACACCGTACAAGAGAAAGGAATTTTTTTAAGAAAAAACGTTTCTGTAGTTGAGCCTGTAGAATATACTGTATACTTGATGCAAAGGAAGGAAGAAGCTTCCAGGACGTTCCTGTTCTGAAGTCACTGTTACAAGTCTTTATATTCAGGAGAAAGCTCAAAGTAGGCATACGGGTGTGTCTCTGTACAAGTCATTTTATGATGGCACACATTTCAAAGAAAACGAAGTGTTTATCAGGAGATGAACAAAGCCTTTCTTTACTTCTCTATGTTGATGACTTTGAAGTGTGCAATCCGCTTGGAGCAATCCCGCAAAAAGCCCAACATCACTGCAGTCTGTTGGGTGTTGGTGAATATGCCCTCACAGTTTAGCTCTACGCTGACATTCTCTGCAAGGCTGTTGATATGAAGAAATATGGATATGGGAAGGCGCTAGAGCCACTTTTAAAAGACCTTGCACGATTAGAGGAGGAATAACTTTTTATTCCTGTGCTGGGAAAGATCGTTAAGGACACTGATTTTAGCGTGGCAGCAGATAATCTTGGATCCACTCCATTGGTGGATTAGTGGACATTTTTAGTGCATCACATACTGTATCTACAGGTTCTGTTTAGGGGAGCTTTCTGAGCTCCAGGAAAAGGAAGTAAGAACCGGAACATTCCAACCCAGAACAAAACGGCAACATTCTGAACGCGTTCAAACAGCTTTGGAAAATCCCACTTTAACACATTGTTATGGTGTGAAAAAGCACTGTGCGTTGACTGAAAAACTGAAATATTTTCACGTGTTGTCTGGCTATCCACCAGATGTACTTCATGACTTTTTTTGAGGGAGTCTTGCTTCTGGAGTTGGCATTGTGCTTAAATGTTTTAATCAAGAATAAATATTTTACTCTGTTGGAATCAAAAAGATCCCAAATAAGTAGAGTGATAAAACCGACTGCCCACAATCAGTTCCACTGAAATTTTCCACTCGAAGGACCATTGGAGGAAACGCTCATGAAAACTGGTGCTTATTGCTTCTGCTTCCATTCATAATTGGAACAAAAATACCTGTTGGTGAACCAAAATGGCAGATAATATTGGACCTCAAAGATATTGTTGAACTTGTGGTTGCCCCACTTCACACAGAGGATACTATTTGGTACCATGACACAAAGATATCTGAGCACAGGCATAGATTCTTGGAGGTTTTCCCTCAGGAAAGACTTATCCCAAAGCATCATTTTATTGAACACTGCCCACAACTGATAAAGGCATTTGGACCCCTGATAGCTTTGCGGTCTATGCGCCTCGAAGCTAAACACAACATTTTTATGCAAGTTGTTCGACAGACCAACAGCATTCAAAACATTTTTCTGTCTCTTGCAGCTAAACATCAACTAATGCCTGCACACTATCTGTATGACACAGATGTTGTCAAACCTGCCCTCTCTGTCACAAAGCTGTCACAGTGGCTTTAGAAGTGTTAAAAGGACAACATAAAGGAAGTAGTGGGAAGACCATTTCCAGATGAGACGTGTTCAGTTGTCAAACACAATTTCCTGCAATGGTACCAATTACTCGGTCGAAATGACCTTGGCCCATGGGTCCACTGGAGGACTTCTGGACTTTGTAGAAATACTTCTAATGATCTTTTATTGTCAAGTGACATTATGCGTGGTACAAAGAGCACCTTAGGGGTTTTCAACTGGAATCTATAAGGAAGGTTAAAGTCTTTGAGCAAAAGGAATTGGCAGACATCTACCCATTAGCAGCATACGCTTTTGGGCAAAAGCGCATGGTCACCCTGAAGCGTTTTGATATTAACTGACATGATTTGAATATGTTCATTTTATAAGCCATGCATTTGAACTTTTGATATTACCCTGAAGGTCTATTCCTCCCAACATACATCATCTTGGGATGAAAAACTCTACACTGGTCATACAACTGATTTACATGTGCATTTTGCATATAATTTAAATGTTTGTAAAGAGTCTTGGACATGTTTTCAAAATAAGAGGTCTGATATTGAACTATTAAGCAGCACTTTACTTGTGATTGAATGGGATACCGATAACCCTTTTTACTGAGAATTGCCAATATGATAACTAGCATGCCTTTTATTTTTGTTACAGGATCTCTGTCTTTATACAACAGGAAGTGTCTGCCAGACTGCGGGTCATGTAGGAGAAACCTGATATACAGTGGAATACCTGCTAACGTCGCCTAACTTACCTCAATTGTGTGAGAGACATTTCAGTTCCAAAGGGATGTTAGACTACAGTACGGTGATGACATTAAGGACAAAGACACCCCACCCCCCCCACAGTTTTTTAGTCTGAATCTACAAGACGTATTGGACACCAGCTCTGCCATGCTATCGGATGACACGTGCTCCTCTGGCTCCTGTAAGTATCTCTAATCTGCACATAATCTCTTGCAACATCTAGCATTCCAATGTTAATACCTATTGTAATTATTCTGCACTATAGACTATTTATTGCCTTACCGTCCTACTTGCTACATTTGCACACACTGTATATATATTTTCTGTGTATTTCTGACTTTAAAGTTTTTTTTTACCCCATATGTAACTCTGTGTTGTTTTTATTGCCTACTTTTGCTTTATCTTGGCCAGGTCGCAGTGTAAATGGAACCTGTTCCAACTTGCCTACCTGGGTTAAATAAAGGTGGGAAAAAAAAGAAAAAAAAAAGAAAAAAAAACACTGTGATATTGTCCTGTCCAGAGACGTACCTCATCCCAACGTTTACATCCTTGGCCATCTCAGTTTGAAATTCCTCGCTTTGCTTACGACACAGAGCTTGTTCTTGAGGCAGCAAATGAAGCATACTGAAAGGATGGAACACTACTCAACAGTCCGGGTGTGAAGTCCGACATCCTGGAGAGACTGTCTGAAAGTATATTCCAGTTTACAGCCTATCCTTCAAGTCTACAGTATACTCCAGTTTACAGACTATCCTTCAAGTCTACAGTATATTCCAGTTTACAGCCTATCCTTCAAGTATATTCCAGTTTACAGCCTATCCTTCAAGTCTACAGTATATTCCAGTTTACAGACTATCCTTCAAGTCTACAGTATATTCCAGTTTACAGCCTATCCTTCACGTCTACAGTATATTCCAGTTTACAGCCTATCCTTCACGTCTACAGTATATTCCAGTTTACAGCCTATCCTTCAAGTCTACAGTATACTCCAGTTTACAGACTATCCTTCAAGTCTACAGTATATTCCAGTTTACAGACTATCCTTCAAGTCTACAGTATATTCCAGTTTACAGCCTATCCTTCAAGTCTACAGTATACTCCAGTTTACAGCCTATCCTTCAAGTCTACAGTATATTCCAGTTTACAGACTATCCTTCAAGTCTACAGTATATTCCAGTTTACAGCCTATCCTTCAAGTCTACAGTATATTCTAGTTTACAGACTATCCTTCAAGTCTACAGTATATTCCAGTTTACAGCCTATCCTTCAAGTCTACAGTATGTTCCAGTTTACAGACTATCCTTCAAGTCTACAGTATATTCCAGTTTACAGACTATCCTTCAAGTCTACAGTATATTCCAGTTTACAGCCTATCCTTCAAGTCTACAGTATATTCCAGTTTACAGACTATCCTTCAAGTCTACAGTATATTCCAGTTTACAGACTATCCTTCAAGTCTACAGTATATTCCAGTTTACGGCCTATCCTTCAAGTCTAGAGATATGCCAAGTTGCAGAAGCCTTGGTACCAAAGCACCCGTACCTTAAAGAGCCATACAGACTTAAATACTTGCCTGTTTGACTTAAGGGTCATCCAGGTGGCAATGCAGCCTGAAGAATAAGATGGGCAATTACGGAGAAAAACTGAGAATAATCGGATGCCCAGAGCTGGATGTGAACTCTATCAAGAGAAAACCAACAGACGAAAGAACTCCGGCCAAGAAACTAAAAAAGCCAAAGGCAGAGGTAAATGACCTCCCGCCCCATCCCATTGGTGAGACAGAAGAGACACGAAGAGACACTAGAGAAGGAGAGAGTAGAGCTACTCAGCGATGTACAAAAACGAGACAACAGAAACAGTGCGAGTGAATGAATGGCCAAGTCCTTCTCACATAGAAGACAAGATGTCATGCAGAGCCCTCCTGTGAGTGCCAAGTCCTTCTCACATAGAAGACAAGATGTCATGCAGAGCCCTCCTGTGAGTGCCAAGATCTACTCACATAGAAGACAAGATGTCATGCAGAGCCCTCCTGTGAGTGCCAATACCTTCTCACATAGAAGACAAGATGTCATGCAGAGCCCTCCTGTGAGTGCCAAGACCTTCTCACATAGAAGACAAGATGTCATGCAGAGCCCTCCTGTGAGTGCCAAGACCTTCTCACATAGAAGACAAGATGTCATGCAGAGCCCTCCTGTGAGTGCCAAGACCTTCTCACATATAAGACAAGATGTCATGCAGAGCCCTCCTGTGAGTGCCAAGAACCACTCACATAGAAGACAAGATGTCATGCAGAGCCCTCCTGTGAGTGCCAAGACCCACTCACATAGAAGACAAGATGTCATGCAGAGCCCTCCTGTAAGTGCCAAGACCTTCTCACATAGAAGACAAGATGTCATGCAGAGCCCTCCTGTGAGTACCAAGACCTTCTCACATAGAAGACAAGATGTCATGCAGAGCCCTCCTGTGAATGCCTTCAAATAAAAAAATGTCCGGTCCTGTTCCAGCCTACTCAGATACAATTAGAGTTGAATTATAATGATAAATCATGAACGTAAAGATTGATGATGATTCTTTGTTGTCTTGACTTGAAATTCTTATCACATGCATCAGCATGTGGTCTGTGGTCAGTATGTGGTCCTCTGTAGCTCAGCTGGTAGAGCACGGCGCTTGTAACGCTAGGGTAGTGGGTTCGATCCCCGGGACCACCCATACAGAAAAAATATATATGTCCCGCATGACTGTAAGTCGCTTTGGATAAAAGCGTCTGCTAAATATTATATTATATATATTATAGTAACAAGTCTCTCTCTCTTTTTCTCTGTCTCTTTCTCATTCTCTCTCTCACAGATTGAGGAGGAGTTCCGAAGAATCACGACCGCCCGACTTCAGTCCACCTTCATGGGGAAACTGGACCAACACACCCCAAGGCTGTTGTCCTTGTTCAAGTCAAAAGGAGGTGCTGTAAAGGAGGAGTTGCAGGGCCTCCTGGAAGCGCCGTACAGGGTATATACACTTAAGACACTTTCACAGCACAGTCAATAATTACATTTGGTGACATTTATTTAGTTTGCCTGTACTAAATACAACTAATGTTTATTCCCACATGACAGTGCAACACCACAAGAGGAGAGAAGAGGCTGGGTGATCCGTGGCCTGATGATATACCTCGGCGAAAGGGTCGAGGACCTTATCAAGGAATACAAGGTAAAGTTTTTATTTATTTATATTTCATAGCTATATTTATTTAGCTATGTCCCTTTATGTCCCTCATCTCTCTCTCCTCCTTCCTCAAGTTGCACAGCTTGATTTCCTGGATCTAATAGATCTTGTCTGTGTACATGTACTTTATTGTTTTAAACTTCTCAGGACGCAGACGACAAACATGATCCAAGAGGACCTCGCTCAGCATGTGCTTAAGGTTTTCGTGGTGAGCATGGGATCTGCATTGAAGGAGCCAAGGTACTGGCTGGTATTCCTTGCTTATGGTCCTCTGTAGCTCAGCTGGTAGAGCACGGCGCTTGTAACGCCAAGGTAGTGGGTTCGATCCCCGGGACCACCCATAAAAAAAAAACAACAACAAAAAAAAAAAAAGTATGCACGCATTGGATAAGTCGCTTTGGATAAAAGCGTCTGCTAAATGGCATATTATGGGCCTTATCTATTGCTTAAACCAATTTGCTACCCCCCAAAAAACTGAAATACAGCTTTGCAATGTTCCAGAAAGTCTTCTTGCAAATAGATACATTGATAGCATCCCACCAGATCCAAACTCTGAGGACCAAATTATGAGGGGGATTTTTTTGTGAACTATGTGCTAAACAAAGTTAAATTACGGACGTCTCTGTTGCTAGGCAATAACTAAGAATGGTTCCTTTCACTGGGCTTGTGTATGTGTGAAATGGGGATCTGACCCTAGGGTCTAATTGCTCGCTCTTACCTAATCCATGGCTGTCTTACCTTATCAGAGACTGAAACCAGACTGTTGCCTAATGCATCTCTCCTCAAACAAAGGTTCTGAGAGCAGAGCCAAAATTGAACAGCGTTTAGACTAGTCATGAGTAATTACAGCATGACGGGAGGGAAGAGGAGTAGGTTTGGGTATGTTTGAAAGATTAAGTGTGAACCTGTCATGTCCAACAATCAATCTTCAGGTCAAGCTCGGGAGAGCTGGGGTTGGACAGAGTTTAAACTAAACATGAGTGTTTTTGCAAGATAAGGGATTGATTGATTGTATTACCATTGATTCTGAACTGAATAACAGTTAAATTTAGCTAATTTAGTGGGTGGAGCGATAGAGAGCAGGAAACTGAAGATAATGCTAGGAGAACCCAAGAGGGAGGGGTTTTGAGCTAGGAGGGATGTGAATGGGACTATATAGATGGGGAGCAGAGAGAGAGAAGGGAGGATGCTTTGTAAATCACCCCGGCTTTGTCCATTGTAATAAAGAAATGTTAAAGTTTTTCCTTTAACATTTCTACAAAATCTCTGTAAGAACTTAGATTTTTATAAAGTACAGTGACAAGTTTCCACAACAATTACCTGCCTAAATCGGGGGTTCCCAAAACCATCTACCCAATCCCATGTACTAGGGGATTTTTTATTTTACTTGTTATGCCAAGGCCCAGTAGAAAACTCTGGTGGTTGGGAAATACTGGCCTAAATGGCAAGCATTTAACATTGAAGGTGCAGCTATTACCTAGGCATCCGAAGACTGAAATTAGAGACTGTGTCAGTATGCTGTTCTGTGTTTACTTTCGCTGGTATTTCTCTAGTTAAGTCAGTGTGTTCTATTTTTGTTTTGGTAAGCCATCGATCGGGGTGCATATATTTCATGATACTTTTTTGCTACATCACTTTGCTAAAACAAGGAGCAACAAAGTTGAATCATGTTGTAAAGAGTCCATGTTACTGAGGAAGGCAGCTGTTCTTTCCACAACACAAACTAAGCTACCCCAAATAACTGAAATATACTTTTGAGGTGGAGATTATGTTTAGTGTTGTGTTGTGTAGTGGCTTTGCTGGCATGTATCCCCCCCCCCCAATTTCTTTTTTCCCGCACCAAGATTTACATGCTAAAATCGGCACTGCAAATATGAGGTTGAAAAGTGATGAAATGTCCCTTTTGTTGACTTTGCATGAAACTTAATTATTTTGCCAGTTTATTTCTTTTGCAGAAACACATTGCACTTCAAATAAAAGAAGTAAGCAATAAATGTGAAGTTTCAAAATTCCTCTGATGTTTGAAAAAGTATGAAAATGTATGCAGTCACTACTGTAAGTCGCTCTGGATAAGACCGTCTGCTAAATGACTAAAATGTAAATATGTTTGTTACTTTTATGCATATTATCATATAGGTGTTGTTGCATCAAGCAAATCATTTTGAGTAAATTTTCCAAAAGAAATTGAGGCAACTATTTGCATCAGCTTTTTTTGTATATTTCAAGTTATAGAAACCTAATTTAAATATATTTTACAAACCTGATTACCATAAGTAACTATTCAGAAAGATTAAGTGGATCCAATTTACAACAACGGTTGTGTGAATTATAAAATTAAGTTAGACCATCCAATTTTTGAGATGCTGTAAGTTATTTGCACTTAATATAATATTGTTTGTGAAACACTAAAAGCAAAGTATATTATACATAAAATAACTCATGTTGGAAATACTCAAAAACCTGATGCAAATAGTTGCGTAATTTTTTTAAAGTAGAACAAGCACATTATTTTTTACAGTGTAGGACCCTGTAAAGTAGGACCCTGTGGAGTACAACCCTGTAGAATATGCCATGTAGATTACGACCCTGTAAAGTATGACCCTGTGGAGTATGACCCTGTAGAATAGGACCCTGTAGAGTAGGACCCTGTGGAGTACAACCCTGTAGAATATGCCATGTAGATTACGACCCTGTAAAGTATGACCCTGTGTGAGTATGAACACCGTAGAATAGAAGACCCTGTAGAGTGGAAGCCCTGTTAAAATAGGACCCTGCTGGAGTATGGACCCTGTAGAATAGGACCCTGTTAGTGGCCCGTAGATAGACCCTGTGAATAGGACCCTGTGGAGTATGACCTGTAATAGAGTATAGGACCTGAACTGTAGTGACGTAGATGACCCGAAGTATGCCTAGAGTACGACCCTGTAGAATAGGACCCTGTAGAGTAGGACCCTGTAGAATATGCCATGTAGAGTACGACCATGTAGAATATGAGTAGACGTGTAGAATATGACCCTGTAGAATGGGACCCTATAGAGTAGGACCCTTTAGATATGCCCTGTAGAGTACGACCCTGTAGAATAGGAACATGTGGAGTAGGACCCTGTAAAGTACGACCCTGTAGAATAGAACCCTGTAGAGTATGACCCTGTAGAATAGGACCCTGTAGAGTATGACCCTGTAGAATAGGACCCTGTAGAGTATGACCCTGTAGAATAGGACCCTGTAGAGTGTGACCCTGTAGAACGTAGGACCCCTGGCACATCACAAGGACTGCTGTGCCCCCGACACCCCTCACAGTAGCCAACGGGACAGCAGAATTCATACTAAAGTCAGGGCATGCCAGGGTGTGTTTAACAAGGGCCTCTTAAAATGGGTGATGTACTCTCTAACAGGAAGATCAACTGGGTGATGTAGTCTCTAACAGGAAGATAAACTGGGTGATGTAGTCTCTAACTGGGAGATAAACTGGGTGATGTACTCTCTAACAGGGAGAGACATCCTGTGCACCTTTCTCTTCCTGTGTGTTCTCACAAGCTCACTGTCACAGCAGGTGGGTTGTCAACCCCTTCAAAGCCTTCACAAGCTCACTGTCACAGCAGGTGGGTTGTCAAGCCCTTCAAAGCCTTCACAAGCTCACTGTCACAGCAGGTGGGTTGTCAACCCCTTCAAAATATTTTCATACACTGCCTATTAAAACAGCCCTGTCCTACGGCTTGTACCTGTTTACAGTGGGGGGAAAAAGTATTTAGTCAGCCACCAATTGTGCAAGTTCTCCCACTTAAAAAGATGAGAGAGGCCTGTAATGTTCATCATAGGTACACGTCAACTATGACAGAAAAATTAGGGGAAAAAATCCAGAAAATCACATTGTAGGATTTTTAAATTATTTATTTGCAAATTATGGTGGAAAATAAGTATTTGGTCAACAACAAAAGTTTCTCAATACTTTGTTATATACCCTTTGTTGGCAATGACACAGGTCAAACGTTTTCTGTAAGTTTTCACAAGGTTTTCACACACTGTTGGGCCATTCCTCCATGCAGATCTCCTCTAGAGCAGTGATGTTTTGGGGCTGTCGCTGGGCAACACAGACTTTCAACTCCCTCCAAAGATTTTCTATGGGGTTGAGATCTGGAGACTGGCTAGGCCACTCCAGGACCTTGAAATGCTTCTTACGAAGCCACTCCTTCGTTGCCCGGGCAGTGTGTTTGGGATCATTGTCATGCTGAATAACCCAGCCACGTTTCATCTTCAATGCCCTTGCTGATGGAAGGAGGTTTTCACTCAAAATCTCACGATACATGGCCCCATTCATTCTTTCCTTTACACGGATCAGTCATCCTGGTCCCTTTGCAGAAAAACAGCCCCAAAGCATGATGTTTCCACCCCTATGCTTCACAGTAGGTATGGTGTTCTTTGGATGCAACTCAGCATTCTTTGTCCTCCAAACACGACGAGTTGAGTTTTTACCAAAAAGTTATATTTTGGTTTCATCTGACCATATGACATTCTCCCAATCCTCTTCTGGATCATCCAAATGCACTCTAGCAAACTTCAGACGGGCCTGGACATGTACTGGCTTAAGCAGGGGGACACATCTGGCACTGCAGGATTTGAGTCCCTGGCGGCATGGTGTATTACTGATGGTAGGTTTTGTTACTTTGGTCCCAGCTCTCTGCAGGTCATTCACTAGGTCCCCCCGTGTTGTTCTGGGATTTTTGCTCACCGTTCTTGTGATCATTTTGACCCCACGGGGTGAGATCTTGCGTGGAGCCCCAGATCGAGGGAGATTATCAGTGGCCTTGTATGTCTTCCATTTCCTAATAATTGCTCCCACAGTTGATTTCTTCAAACCAAGCTGCTTACCTATTGCAGATTCAGTCTTCCCAGCCTGGTGCAGGTCTGCAATTTTGTTTCTGGTGTCCTTTGACAGCTCTTTGGTCTTGGCCATAGTGGAGTTTGGAGTGTGACTGTTTGAGGTTGTGGACAGGTGTCTTTTATACTGATAACAAGTTCAAAGAGGCGCCATTAATACAGGTAACGAGTGGAGGACAGAGGAGCCTCTTAAAGAAGAAGTTACAGGTCTGTGAGAGCCAGAAATCTTGCTTGTTTGTAGGTGACCAAATACTTATTTTCCACCATAATTTGCAAATTAATTCATTAAAAATCCTACAATGTGATTTTCTGGATTTTTTTTCCACAATT